TCCAATGATAATCGATTCCTATAGCCTGGATTATATTCCGCATTCATGATAACGATGCGAAAACGCAAATTTTGGAAGAATAGGTCAGTTAGTCCCTATACGCTTCTGGATTACTTCACTCCTATGGAAATCTATTTGTCAGCTTTTACCTGAAAACTAATGGAACTCGACGTGCGATAATTCTCTCGAGTGTAACTTGCCCGTCAAAATCGTATCGATTGAGATCCATCGGTCAGTCAATTAGCAGATGACTCTCGCGTTCCCTTTCCTCTCATTCTCTCTCTCTCTTTCTCTATCTCTCTCTACCTCTTTATCGCTTCTCTATCCTCCTCTCTCTCTCTCTCTCTCTCTCTCTCTCTCTCGGTATATTCAATTCCGATAGGAGGATGAGTTTCGATCCGTTGAAATTGCCATTCCCATCCCCGTTTATTTCATCTCATTCGTTTCTTTTTTTTTGTACCTAGAATAGACGATATACGATACAAGATGTGCAATTTAAAAGAGAAACAGATAAGAGCATCAAGTTGGTATTTCTAGATAAAAAAGTAAGTTAGCGAAAGGACCAGTTGGCCAATGATCTTTGGCATGAAAAGAACTTTTCGAAAATATTTCTATATGTAAATGTATACATTTAATTCATCGTATCTTTTCTTCTTGGCCATTACGAGTTCTCGCATATGCATTTACCGAAAGCTATTCAAACATTTAACGAATTCGCCATAAAAAATTGGATTTTGCAATTCAAACTCAAGTGACGCATACAACATTGATCATACTTTGATTTAACATATTTCTAGTGATTTTTAATTTTAATAAAATATGATATATTGAAATAGTTTTATTATTCTCTGTTTCCTCTTTTAAAAAATATCTCATGTATCTTCGATATATAAATGGATTAGAACAAGAGAGGAAGAGAGATAGAGAGAAAAAGAGAGAGAGAGAGAGAGAGAAAGAAAGAGCGAGAGAGAGAGAGAGAGAACGAGAGAGAAACAGACAAAGTGTAAAAGAGAAGAAGTAAAAATAACGCTGCTAGCTGACGTGTCTATGCCAACTTACGTGTGCTCGATAGGCTAGACATAGATTAATGTTTGTACTAAGTTGTCGTAGTATGCAAAAGAGAAAGAGGGGGAGAGAGAGAGAGAGAGAAAGAAATAGGGTAAGAGAGGAATTGGTCACCCTAGAGCATACGATATCCCGAAGAGTTTGGGGTCGATCTACTAGAACGAACTGTCCTAGATCGATGCGACGGATCGATATCTTCCTTCTAGAATTGTCCCTGTAAACGAACTATCACAATTTTAGATAGCCCTTCTACGCGGAAATAGGATTCTACGTGGAGAAAATGTTCGCCAGGGACTCTTTTACAGCCCGTCGAGAGAAGAGTGAGGAGAAACGATACGGAAAACAGGTACATAGGTGGAAAAAGTTATTTTCCAAGATTCCTCGAGTAACAAGGTAAAGAAAAAGAAGACTTATTGGAAAAGGGTTGAAAAAAAAAAGTTACGTGAAATGAAGATAACAATCGTTAGACAATCATACTCTTATTTTAATTCTGATTATACAACATTTTTTTAAACTTTTTGATATTTCGAGTAACGAAAGTGGTTTAATTTAAAATTGTGTCATGATGTTAAATAGTAAAAAGATAAAAAAAAAAAACAAAAGAAGAAAGAAAAAGTACAACGGCACGATAACCGAACTGATAAAAATTTCGATTGCAGATCATTAGATAAACGTATCTATAGTTTTGCAAAAAATGTGATAAGTTTTATCAAGCTGGATATTTCTTCAAGGTATTTTATCAAGCGGTGAAAGTCAACAGGAACGAAAAAAAAAAGCAGGATATTAAAGATCGTAATACGTTGTTCAATCTCGTATTATTCTTTTCGTTTCTCTTGTACAATGTGAAATTGGAATTGGATGAGAAAATATTGTTGCCGTCGATAATATTACCAAAAAGTAGGATCAAATATCAAAAGAAGAAAGTGAACTATACGTTTTCGATCGTATCTCTCATAGTTTTTCCTCGACATTTATCCGTCGCTTTTCTTGTCAAACTTTGTCGAGATACGATCTCTATATGGAGAAATCGAATCGAACGAAATACAAATGATATGATAGGAATAACAGAAGATATCAAGTACTTATGTGTATATGATATATGTATATAGTAATATGATATATATATATGTATATAGTAATATGATATATATATATATATATTTATTTATATATATATATATATTTATAGTAATATCCTTTCTCTTTTTTGCTTACTGAAACGTGTTAAATTCTTGAAATATTACAAATAAAATGATAAATTCCAATATAAAAATTTCCGACGTATTAAAACATTCTCATTACATATAGCATATATGGGAGAAATTGTTGAAAGTGGACATATACGCTTTTTCTTTCCAATAGCCAAAGGAAAAATCGAAGAATATCTGAAAATACGAATAAAATCGAGTATAACGAGTGAAATCGAATCGATCGTTCATACGATCTCCGACCCGACGATATCCAGCAATCTTGTTCGCCGCACGACGGTGTTATTTCCGGCCGACGGAAAAGAAGAGAAGATTACGTGAAGGCGTACCGTAGTGTGGGCGTAGCGCGAGCAGGTATGTAAGTCGATAGCCGGTTTCGAAAGGAGTTACGTGGGCTCCCTCTTTCTCTATCACAGTTTTGCTTATCTTTTCACATCTCTCCTACGTATCGTCTGCCTTGCTAATTCCATCTCGTTCGTGCTTCTCTCTCTCTCTCTCTCTCTCCCCCTCTCTCTCTCTTTCTTTCTCCCTCTCTCTCTCTCTCTCTTAATCCTTTGTGTCCTCCATTTGAAATTTACAATCTGTAGCAAGCACAACCAATGGATTTATATACGGAGAAGGAATGACTAATGTCTCATTTGCATTTTGCATTTTGCGTGTGATTTTGTCACTGAGTTTATATCCAGTTTATTAATAATGTAATATACAGTCGCAGCAACTACCACCACAACCAGTATTACTGTCACTGTCATCGTTGTGAGTATATATATATATATATATGTATTGCGGTCCGTCATATACACCCTCTCTAGTTAACCCCATCATGTGTGCTTGCAAGTGCGCCTGCGCTCGTTACGGTATAGTCGAATACCGAGTATTATTAATCCCACTCTCTCTCTTTCTCTCTCTCTTTCTCTCTTCCTCTCTCTTTCCTTTTTTTTCCTCTTCTTCTCTTTTTCGCTCTTTTTTCTCCTCGGTTTGTTTGTGCTAAGCGCGTGCGAGATTAATTTCAACCGAACGTGATGTTACGACTGGCAGCAGCATGCCAAAAGGATCCCAGAAGCTTGGTATACGAAGGTAATAAAGTATTATTAAAAAATGCACAGATCGGTCGCTCGTTTCGATGCTATCTGTAATTGCTATACTGTAGCCACAGCACAAATTTATTGGGATTATTTTTTATCATTCTCGTCGTTTATTATATAGTGCTACTGTCAATCCGATTATTTACTTTTTCTTTTGTATTTATTTGATATAATAGCAGGTTCTTTATGTGTTGTCACGAACGTTTGAAAAATTTTTAAATTTTCACATAAAGTCTTTGTAATTGAGTAAGATAATAATGTTATTCACGATAGTTTTATTAACTCTTCTTCGTGTTAGAATTCTTTACGAGTTAAAAATAAAGTATGCGATCGATCGAACGATAGAACGATAGAACGATAGAACGATAGATCTTTTAAAATAAAATGGATATTTCGAGGAACACCATAGAAAAAACGTTTCCATGTTGTGCGTGTTGTTTTACGATAATATAGACATGATAATAAAAAACATTTTCTAATTAGATTGCAGGCGCATATCGTCAAAGCGTAATTATCCAATACCAAAGGAAACTCGGTAGTTTCTGTTTGCATATTCATAACTAAAATGAAAGAAAAAAGTTATTGGATTATTATAAATCTTTGTTCTATGTTGAAAAAAAGAGCTACTAATAAGTGAAAATGAGAGAAAAAGAGAAAGAAAGAAAGGGCAAAGTAATCGAAAATCTGTGTTAAAATAATTTCTGTTATTTTACGTACATCCATTTGAAAAAAAAAAAAATAAATAAATAAAAAATAAAAAATTTTCTTCCATCAAGTATGAGTACGATCAGAGATATAGAAAAAAAATTGTGAAAAGAAAAAAACATGAACACATTGGGAATAAAATTTAAGAATACAATTCTTTCGTACTGATCGATTGAATTACGAGAAAAGGAAAGAGAAAGAATACTACTAGTGCCATAAAAGTCTAACGAAGTGAAGAGTGTCGTGAATAAGAATGCTAAAAGCTTCAAACGACTAGAGAGAACGATGGTGTAGATCGACAGAAGGTAGAAAAAGAAAGAAAAAGATAAAAGTAACGAAATACGATCACCTATAAAAATATCGTAGGCTCCATAGAACAGGTAATAATTCACAATCGAGAAAAGTCGAACGGATTTTCTGTCCAGTTCGCGATGTTACGTTCGATATTCATACGAAATAGGACACATTCAGAATGGCATCCTTCCGAACGACGTTATATGTTTTATATCTTTCGGAATTCAATGCCACGTGCATGATAAAATAAAAAAAAAAATAAAAAAAAGAAAAAGAAAAAAAAAAAGAGGAAAAAGGAGAGAAAAAAAGGAAAAAGGAGAGAAAAAAAGAAAAAAGAGAAAAAAAAATAAAGAAAAAAAAAGAGAGGTCTCTTGGCCGTCACGACTTTAACACAAGTACAAATGAACTATCGTGAAGAGGATGGATGATCAAGAGAAAGGAAAAAGATTTATAACGTATATACAGAGTGGAAACCGAATTCTCTATCACTCAAAAACCCTGCCTCTATTTCACCGACTTTTAACGCTACTACGTTCTTCTTTTTTATCTATAGGTTTTTTTTCGGACCATAGGTTGGCACGATTAATCTTCGTATTTCGGAAAAAAATTCTTCCTCGCATGAAGTCACACGCACGGAACTCACCTGCCGGGTTTGTTCCACTCTATTTCTTTTCCTCTTGTTCTCTGCGTTACCTTGCCGTTTCTTTCTCCCTCACTTCGAATTCTACCATTCATCGCTTCCTTTTGATAACACGACAATGTTACGGTGTCCTATATCGCCCTGTTAAAATTATATCCATTAATTTTCGACGTAATCATTGTTAAATAATAAAAAAAAAAATAAAAATAAAAATAAAATAAAATATCATTATCGTCGTTTTACGTGATAGAAAGAGGAATGAGAAAGAAAAGAGAAAGAAAGAAAGTATAAGGGAAGAGAATGAAAATGATGCTCTCTTCGCAAATGGCCACGTCGAAGAAGATTGTAGTCTCTGCCAAGTACCGTTGTAACGAGCTTTTTATGGCGAATGTGTTGAACCTATGCGAAAAAACGTGACTTTTCCAAGCACGTGCCTATCTAGACGGTACACGGATTCTTGACTTATGAAACTACTCCAGGTACTGTTTACCATTCTAAGGTTTCGGAATCTGCTATTTGAGAAATGTCGTTAGCTCAGAAACGCAAACTACCTATCTACCATCGGGAATTAACATCGCGAACTATCGAACATGATGCTGGAATCTAGAGGAATATCGAGCTCACGTGCGTATATTAGATATCCTTCGTATGGTTTTGCCTTTGTACAAAACGTGCCGCAGATTTCAGGTAGATCATTTAGATGATTAGAATACTTGCGATCCGCTTTCGTGAATTCGATAATACGATTCAAAAGTTGTAGATTTAAAGTAGAGTAGATAAACGATTAATTCCAAAGTATTTAATGTGATTATACAATATGCTAGTTAGGTAATATTTTTTATTACCTTTAACACGTATTTTCTAAGAAAGTTTACAATACGTAAGATTCTCTTAAACGTAATTTAATGTTAAAATATGGCTTTTATAATAATTGCATCACTCATTCTCTATTCTACATATAAATTTATGATACGTTATGAAAACTTCATTTTGACAAACTATTGGACAATATTTGTGCTTATGTCAGAAATAAATATACACTAATATAGATACAAATTTGCTATGATTATATTTACCGAAAGAATATCCGTCGTGTGTATATGTATGTGAATATAATAAAACATTATTAAAATTTTTATACGACGTACCATTCTCCAAGGACATCCGGCAGCGAACATTTATGAGTAACTTTCTAAGTGAGAAAGGTGGAAATTTTTGTTTATAATACATTCTCATTACGTTCTCATTATTTGCGTATTACTTTTTATAATCTCATAATTGCATTATTCGCGATATGCATAAGAAATATCTTACATATATCAAGATAATATATATATTATTAAATATATGTCATGATGGTAATCATAATTCATAGATTAAAATTAAAAGTTAAATAGAAAAAGAAGTATTAAAAAGAAAAAAATAACTCACGAGTAAATATCGACGGTAGATTATTTTCAGTTCTCGTAATTTTCTGTAACAGAAAAAGAACAGTATGGTAAATAACGTATTATGTCGATAAAATTCTTATTTGAAAAAATAATTTTATTTATTTTATTTAAACATAAGAGAGAGAGAGAGAGAGAGAGAGAGAGACTAACCAAGTTCGGCACCATATATGTATTTATCATTATTTCGATGTACTTATGTACGTCTAATTAAACTTAAACCATTCGAAGAATATTCAATTAGTATCGATAGAAGATACAATCGGTCTTGTGGTTCACCAGCAATTAAATGTTCGTCTTCGGTAGATTGGAAACTCTAATTGAAGTGTAAGAACTTTCGATAGTTTCGTTAAGAAAATCACAGTTTCCTAAATTAATTAATACAACAAGGAATATTGATTAACCAAAAGAATTTTTTATCTGTTAAACAACGATCTCTCGTATAAATTTCTGATGACGTTTAACATATTCTTATCCTAAGTCTCCACACTTCAGTTTTTAGTTCCACTATTAGTAAAAGCAGATTTAAGTACTTACTTTGTCTAAGTTTAGCTAACGAATTCGTTATAATCGCATTCGAGCTACCTCTCACGGGTGCAACGGCTTGCAAAGTAACAAACCCACCAAGGAACTGATCGAAACTCCTGGAAGACTTGGCTCTCACCAAAACGGATGAGAAAGGAGGAGGATAACTTGGAAGGTAATCGTCACAGATAAATCGGGTTCTCGCACTTAACGATGTCCTTAATTACACGGCCAACGAAGAGCAGTCTTCGATTTCTCATTGGAAGGCAGATGAGTTTCTTGCCGAGTTAGCAATGCAAGCATTCGAGCTTTAATGCGATCGACGAAAGATACCGTTTTCAATTCATCCTGTGACACCTTCGAAAATCAACGATCGAGTCTTTTATTTTGTATGTCATCAATTTATTTGGACTTGGATTTATTATAGTGATTAAAATGATATTTTTTTTTGCTGTTTCCTCTTCGTATAATATTAATGTAAATTACAAAATATAAATCTTGTGTATATTTTATTCAAATTCAGATATTATTAAAGTTTCTCCGAGCTTCATTACAAAAGTAGTTAACTTGGTCAAAGGAGTCCAGGTCAATGCAATCTCATTGAAAATTGTTATTTGATGAAAATAAGAAGTACATTATGCTTGCATTGGACAATCTAAAGTAGTTGTACAATTAGAAAATCAGAAGCAATTTATCTATCGAAATTACATCATTGAATCATCAAATTTACAGGACCATACACTGATACAATATTTGTTTTTAACGTAAATGAATAATAGTGATCGTAGCAGAGGAAAATTTACAAAGACGAATAATAGTTTGAAATATTATTAATACGTTCGACATGGTTCAATGTATAGTATACTTTATAATAATTCAATATGAGAATATTCAATATTATAATATTATAATTCAATATGAGAACTTCAATTCAACGGTTGTGCAGTATTTTTTTCAATAATTACTATGTTAACAGAAAGAAATAATGCAGTTAAAATTTCGTTTCTTTTTTTTTTTCTATTATTTAAAGAACCTTTTATAATCAATAATCTGTGAGAGTCGTCACAGGAGCAGAAAAAGGGCAAATAATTTCCTCCTATTAAAGTCTTTGGGCCAATCTCTAAAATTTCGTTGAAAAATTTAATTATTTTATATATAGAGAGCATACAGAAAGAGAGAAGAAGGGAGAAAGAGAAGGAGAGAAAGAATGAGAGAAGGATAGAGAGAGATGAAGGTAAAGAACAGACCATTTTGAATTACGACGGATGCGAAAGATGTGCTTGGCATAGAGCCAAACCGTTTTCTCCAGCGCGATAAGCAAATCTTCTATAATGTGAGCTAAACTTGAAAAGGGAGAAAAAGAGTAGAAGAAGGAGAAAAAGAAAATAAACATGGATATGCACAGGCTTAAAAGGAAGAAATAATCGAACAAAGAATAAGAAAACATTATTTGATAATACCAACAATTTCAACAATTTCAAAAGAATTCGAAGAAAATTCTTCGCATGAATGTCGCGAAGAATTAGTTTTAAGCGACATTATCTTTGTATGATCAATTATAATCATTCTGAAAAAAATAAAGATGTTATTTAAATCATAATTTTTTTTTTTCTATTTCAAAGAGAAAATAAAGACGCGTTTTTTAAAGAAACAAAATCTTAATAAACTTATTAATTGTTATAAAAGCTAATGGGTATCCATTGCTACTCTACTCTTTGTCTTATATAATTATATAACAAAATGAAACTGAAGTGAAATAATAAACAAATAATAATACCGAGTATCGTATATAAATATGAAAATAAGAGGAAAGTTGGATGCAGAATTATAAAAACCCCTTAGGGAAACTTATACTTTTTTAGGGACAAAAAAATTTTGAGAAAGAGATTATTTTAGATCGAAATAAACGGGAAGACGTTTATATCGTAAAGATTCCAATATCTTTTCAAGATTTCGTGGCTCTTCAAGTTTTCTCAGAACGGTCGCACTGATTACGAAAATCTTGAGACTTCAAAGTAAGTACCCAAAGTTTTCTTATCCGATAATGCTTGACGATTCGAATTCATAATCTGCGTGCCTGTCGCTAGATCAGCATTTAAAACTTCATCGAAAGTTGCCTTGTGAAAATACTCGGATCGAACGACGGAAGTTCTTTCATTTGTCATCGACCAATTCATTTCAGGACGTTTGATGATCGTTCCGAAATGTTCTCGCCTCTTTAAAACGAAAAGTCACAAACCTCCCTTTTACAGATTACTATAAAAGTATTATAAAAAATATATCAAATTGAATTGAATTAATAATGATTGATCATTTAAGGATTACGAAGATGATGGTTGGATGGTTATTTTAAAAATGTTTAAACAATCATACACCTAATATTGATAATCGTTCAATCAAAATTAAAGATAATCGCGCGTGTACCTCTGTACGTTTCACCAACGATTCGATGAAGTTAATTTAAATCCATTATTCTTTGACATCTCGAAGATACCATTAATCTAATCGTGACTTCGTGAACCACGTACTTAAATATTAGATTTTCGATATAATATATTATATATCGTGCTATAGGAAATGCTGAAACGCGAGATCGGACCGATGAAAAACAATTTGTTACATGTCAAACGCAGTCTCATTTTTAATTTTCTCGAAAATAAAAGGAAGGAAACAATTCACGATAGGAGGAAAGAACGGATAGTATGTGGGTACTGTGTAAAGTATTAGCTTCGATAGAAGCCTCACGCGGTGAGGTAACCGCGATAAAAGCGAAACCTCGGAATCCATGCTGCTCGATTTTAAATGCAAGTATCTTCACCTTTATTTCGTCCGTATTTAAATGCAGCTATTCATCTCACTCAGTTGGAATTTAAATGGCTACTTAAATAATATTGTTCTCACTATCTCGCTCGCTCTCTTTCTCTCTGACTTTTCTTTCTGCCTTCTCATGGAAACAGGGTAATTTCTTTTTTAAAGTAATCATAAAAAATAAACGCAGGGAAATATGTAAGTTTTAATTCTATTAACAAATAGTTATTAAGGTCGCTGTAGTAATTAATGGCATCTTTTTTTTTTCAACGAAACGAAGAACGATTAACATATTTGCACATCGCTTTCGTACTATTGATATTAATTTATAATGATAGTAAATAATCTGTTTCTCTACTATTTTCATTAGTCAAAATTTAATCGTGAGAGTAGTTTAAAATGAATTTCTAGTTTATTTACGTGCTTTTCAAAGTTTCCTAACTCTTTCACTCGATACTCTCTTTGTTGAATATAAGTTTTTGGCGATTCTCGATTCATAAAATCTTAAGATATTCGAAATTCCAGGGGTCGAGAGAAGAATCGTCTATTGTTTAGCGTCTTTTACGGGTGAAAGGTTAATCGAACTACTAAAGAAGATTCAAGAGGTTTAAAAAGAGGTCTTAACTCTCGACCAACTGGTAATAAAGCGGCTTACTCACTTCTTAGCCGACAGCACCACGATGCCCCGATCGCACCGCAAAATTGCCAAAGTTACCAACCTTCTATCCTTAATGCACTTTTCCAATCCGAGATTCCCCCTCTTTTTCTTTATAAGTTCGGCTTCGATTGGAAGAAGTAAAAGTGATGATCTTGTCGACGTATCAATCTAAGCATATCTTCGAAGATTAAAACGATTATCCGATGCATGGATGACGAAAAAATAGAGATTTTTATTTCTCCTTTTAAAGGACCGTATTTATCTTAACATTTAATGTCATCGTAATAGAATTATCGTTAAATCAAAATTATTTTACAAAATCACAATAATATCGAATAACAATATTTTTATCCGAATAAATGTTTTTAATAATTTTTCATATTAACGAATAAATTAAACCGAAGTACGGTAAAGAGCATGATGGATAAACAATAATGGAGCTTCCGATATTATCAGGAAGTCTTTATGGTACCACACTATTCATACACTATACGCCCAGCCGATACATAATACACTGTGCAGCTTAGTATAAATAAATTATAAAATATAAAGAAGCTTTAATATTTACAGCGTGTTTTTTTTACAATCTGTCTAATGATGTTTATTGATTGAAAAAGAAGATACACAAAAAATCTTCTTTCGTAAATCACATTACATACTTCTTATTTTTAAATTTATAAATACTTCTTTATGTCAAGAATTTTATATTAAAAACATTTTTGTTATTCGAATCTAGTCTAGATCAATTCGTCATAGAATATTGACGTTGTAACAATATCGACATTTTTAAACGGAACCAAAAATGTGAATGTCGAAGACATAACCTTTTAAACAAAAGATAGAAAATGTAAAAAATATTGTAGCAAGCGAAATGCTTTTTAATTTTCTATTCCTATCAAGTCCAACCAACTGCGATAAAACGTACAAATCTCAAAGGTAAAAGACAGTTAAAAAAAATATAAAACATACATACTACGATGCAATTTCGTAGTTACGTCAAACCCAACAAAGGAAAGAACAATTTTTCCCATGAAA